AATTATAAAAGTACAGTTTGTCACTATACCGGGGTGGGCAATTATTTTGGCGAGGTATGGAGGGCTACACACAATCTTTGGGAAAATATCATTTTAACCAATTATAGATAAATCATATACTAAGAATTAAATATCTACTATAACACATTTTATTTTATTTAAAAAAATATTTTTTGTCCTGGTATGTTTTTTTTTAAGTGGTATATAGAGGCAATTGCATAATAGCTCAAAATAAAGTCTTACCCCTGTATGTTGTATGGAGGAGGGGAGGGTATGCAGAATATGAGGATGTTGGTGTGAGATGAGGGAGGGGTTTGAGAGGTTCTACAAGGGGGTGGGGTGGGCAGGTGGGAGTGGCTGGGGGCCCCCATGCTGGGGCTACAGCTTCACCCCCACTTGTGCAGAGCAGCAGATGCCCAGCCATGTCCCCATGGCTGCCGTCCTTCCCCATGCTACCTGCTGCCCAGAGCGGTGGAGCCAGGAGCAAGAGGAAGAACTGTTGGAGGTGGGAGGAGCTGAGCAGTACCCAGCTGGCTGCAGCTGCATCAGGAGGAGCCTTGCTGGTACACTGCATGCTGGCCAGGGCCCAGGCAGGTGGAAGCATGGTGTGGGCTACCCTGGCAGGAGTGGGCAGAGCTTGGCCCCATGTGGAGCACCACGAGCTAGATACAATCATTTGGTGGGCACCCACCCATAGGCCAGATCCAGTCAGTTGGCAGGCTGGATTTTGCCCACCCCTGATTTATACTGTTCTTTTACTTTTCATTTCTCCATCCACATGTAAGGAAAATCAAGGCAATCAGGCTTTTTTCATATATAATTTTACTTTCAGGTTCTTGTTGGAACATTGCCTATATTTCAGATGCTGCAGCCTTTTTTTTTTTAAGCTCTGTCTTGTGTTTTATAAAAGCAACATTTAATCAGTACTGTCTCTAGCAGGAGACCTAGGTTTATATATCCAATGAGCCTAATAATATTTTGCCAGTAATTTTTTTTACTGGCTGGGGTGATTTTAAAATTCCATCATCAAAATAATATTACATTGGTTTCACATATCACCTGTCATTACAATAATTCATTACTATAATTAATTTGTTTAGCTACAGGACAGCCCTATGAAGTAAGATTGCAGAATCTCCAAGTGCAAAACTGAGTCAAATCTGTAAATACCAAACATGCACCATCTCTGATATAATCATTCAGTATTCACATTCAATATTGTAAGTGTATATTCATTCAAAAAGTCAACCAAGTTGTTGCCTGGAGAAGGCTACCTGTCTTTAAAATCTTCAGCACAGGCTTGAACATTCTCCGTCTGCAACATAAGACGAGCATTTTCAAGGACTGCATCACCCACCTGGAATAACGAGACAATAAAGCTCAAGCAATTAAGTACATTAGCCAGGTACATTAACCATGATATGTTAAATAGATAAATGATTTGTGATTCTGTAATCAATTTCAGTTTTGGTGTAGGGCTGTCCAAATTGTTCATTCCAGGTAATTTATTCAGGGTATTTAGTACATCTGTTCATAAATAATCCACAAACAGGCTGCAATTTTTTCTTAAATCCTGTTATACCCAATTGTTCCTTGACTACTTGTGAAAACAAATTTTGAGTTTATAATTTGTTTGCAGGTGGGTTGCCAGGGGTGAACTCTAGCACTTTGTACAGGTTCTGTGCCTGACTTACGTCCTACTTAAAACCCATTCAAATTCCATATCTGGAATGTAGAGCAGTACTTAGATGCAACACATGCCTCTTGCTGTGACCCCTTTTTATTGCAGTGAATTTGATCCAATAAGTATTTGTTGTTCATGCCATGTGAATGGTTGGCTAAATCTTATAGTCATTTCTCCTCTCTGATTTGGAAGATATAAACTTCTGTGATTGGATAAACCTTAGAATCAAGGAATCCTTGAAAGACTATTTCACTGAGATGTGTTAGATACTATGGTCACATGGAGTGAATAAGTATGTGGTATCTTTGTCTTGTGATTCCATGACCTTTAAACAAAACTTACAAACTTGACCCCACTCTGTCCCCTATTGTATTGGTATTCTGTGATTCAAGAAGGTGACCTGGGCAGCACAGAGATCAAAGGAACATAGGCTGTTCTGGGATATGGCTCTCGCTTGCTCTTGTTTGCTCACTCTCTCATATGCGTGCACACACACTAAAGAATTGCTTAACTCAGTTCATACCAACCAGGATTTCATGTGAAGGATAGATGATGATAATAACATAACTTCCATGTTAGTGGTTGTTTTATGACGTTTTCTCTATAGCGCTTTTCTTCTTCAGTAAATAACATTGTATTTTTCGAAAGTTGGCATATTATTGGTTAGCACTGTTATCTCTGAAGGAGCAGAACTGCAGGTGTTGAACTAACAAAAGACTTGCTAATTACAAGGAATTGCAATGGGACTACAGCCTTAAATCCAAGGTCTTAAGGAAAAAGTCACATAACAGAGCATCAACTGCAGATCAGGCCTGAGGAGCATGTGGTTTGGAGAAGACCACAAAGTTGTCTAAGATCTGGAACAGCAACAGTTTAACAAACAGAAGGCCCTTTCTTTTCCTTACATCTCCAAACCTTTTTGGGCGCTCCTATGCCCTCATGATTAAAGGTCCTAGTTTTCATTCTCATACTTTAGACCTGAGTTTGATTACATTGCATTTTTTTACAGTAACCTTGAGAGCTAGATGTCACACAACATTTTTTCTTGATAGTTCTTGCAATTTTAAAATGAATTGATTTTGCTCTCATTGTTTTTTGCGGACAGTCCTGTAATCTTTCAAGTAAAAAAACCAACCCTGCCATATCACTCATCTGACCAGTCACAAGCAACCCACACAGATCAAACAGGAAATTGCTAGAGACACTTGTTCATAATTCGTTTACAAGGTTAAATTAAAATAATCAGATGTTTTAGAAAAATGACTATATTTGAGGAAATTGTAAGCATTTCACAAGCCAGTGACACTAGAGTAATGAAACTGTACATTGCAAGTTATTAGGTACTTTTTATTAATCACAGCAACCTAAGGCAAATCCATTTTGAACTGAGAGTTTGTCTCAGATAGAGCTAAAATGAACACTGAAAGGAGGGTTATTATCAGGGATCCTGGTTTCCCATGACAAAAAATTGCAGATTCTCTAATAAAACCCCACACAATCAGTAATTAAAGTGAAACACCACTCATATATAGGTATCAATTGAACACACTGTTTTATTGAGATATTTACAATTTTAAAGCAATTGGGAAACTACCGGTGCCTCAATCACTATAGTAAAATAAATTCTAAGTACCTATAAAGTTTTGTATTTGATTTTGGGTTTTTTATCATGCAAAATCAGAGCTCCCTCTGCCTCCTGCCAGGTCTAGGCCCCTCACTCCCCACCGACAGCTCCCTGCCCCTGCTTATGTCCCTCCCCACCTACAGCCCACTGCTCCCCTAAGCTCTGCTGGAGGGGGTCCTCAGCTGCCACAGCTATGGGGCCAAGAA